GTTGAAGGATCGCGCTACATCGTCGATGCATCAGCGACGTCGGCGACGCATCGGCGACGTCGGCATGGAGAAAATCAGGCTCCACATCGAGCCGCATCGCCGATGCGCCAGCGATGCGGCGCGATCCTCCGACCCCATCCTCTCCGACCCCACCCACGAGGCCTAGAGTATGGCAGCCTGCGCCTGGTCTTGCATTCTGCAGCACTTTGTCCATGAGCTGAGAGGCAACGACCGGTGGGACTGGCATAGGGGGGGATGCATCGACCTGGAATCGGCGATACCTCGCCGACAGATCGGCGATCGGCCCCCGATAGCGACACCGCACCTTCCTGGGCGGGTTGGGGCTATCGGGCCCCTGTCGGCGATCAGTGGGCGATTGGGGGTCGATGCGTCTCCCCTACGCCTATCCCCCCCGATCGTTGCCCCCGAGCTCTGCACAGGAGCGCAGGGCAGCCGCTCCGGTGCCCCCGGTCGCTGAAGGCCCCGACGGACTGCACTGCGCGTGCCCTCGGCGCGGCACTGCCGCGCGCAGCGCGCCGCCGCCCGAGCGAGCAGGGCGGACAGTGCTGGCGGTCGCCGCGGGCGGCGCCACCATCGCGCGTCGTCCGGGCCGAGGGGAAGCAACTGGGAGAGAGAGAGGCCACTGGGAGAGTCAGAGGGCGGGAGGAGGGAGGGGGGGGGCAAGCTAGGTGCGCTCGCGTCAGATCCGACGCCCTACCCCTCCCTCCCATCCCTTGCCATGGCGTGGATATCCTCGCTATTCGTACAGTCGGATGTCGAGCAGGGCAATGGTCGCGAGAGGGTACGCGGTGCATGGTAGGAGCACGGCATGGCATGGCGTAGAAGAGCACGGCAGAGCGTAGCATGCCATAGCATGGCGTGGCATTGCGCAGTGAAGCATTGCATCACAAAGCATTGCAGCGTACAGCATGTCATCGCACAGTGGCGCAGAACACAACACCGCACAGCATGTCATGGCATGGCGCCAGGTTCCTTGGAAGGTAAATGGATCGTCTTCGAGAGGTCTGGGCCAGTCTGGGGTCGCGGCTCCATGCCTAGCTCCGTGGGCCCCCCGAAGAGCTCCACACAAGGCGGGACTGATGGAGAGCACTCTCTGGCTCTGCTTCCAACATCGCCTTCTCAAAGCAGAAACAGGGCTCCCGCTCAAGCGACGGCGCCCCAAAGTAGGAGGCTTCTGTGGCCCCACAAAAACAACGAATCGGCACCGAATGCGTAATCACTTCCGATGCTTTTCCGAGGGGGCATTTTCTAAATTTTGGGGCCCGTCTAGAAGGAGCGAAAACGCCCGCGCTGCAGCAGGAGCACGATTTGGAACAACCAGAGGCGCAGAACTGGGGCCAGCGCTCCAGCGGGAGCAACATTTTGAAATAACCAGGCGAAAACCCATTTCCCGGGAATCCTGCGTGTGAAAAAAACAATACGCGGAGGTGGGCCAATTATCTTCTGGACGCCATCAGGGGGGAGAGGAGACTAGTATTCATATTTTGTAATTGTAAAGGGAGGGGAAGGGGGGGAGAAGGGAGAGAGGAAGGGGAATGGAGGGTGAATGGAGGGGGGTGGTGCCGGGTGGCTTCGCCTGGATAGGGACGGGGTGGAGGGGGGATGGAAGGGGAGATAGAGAGAGAGAGAGAGGTAGGGAAGAGGGAGGGGAATAACCACTCTGGGATAGCCGGGAGATGAAGGGGGCCGCCACCAGCCCAGCTTCCAAAGAGGCCCAGGCCCACCCACGCGGTGCTTGAGGCTCGACCCCGGACCATAACCCCCCCCCCAAAGCCAAAAAAAGCCCAAAAAAAAAAGGTCCCCCTGTGCGATCGGGGTGGGGGCCCACTCCGGGGCCCCCGGGCCGCGGCGGAGGGATGGGTGGAGACCCGAGACGGCGCGAGGGGGACCTTGGCGCCTGGTCTCAAGCCCCAGTCGCTAGGACGGGGGGAGGGTGCGGGAAGGATGGAGGAGGCGGAGAAGGAGGAGGAGGAGGAGGCGGAGAAGAGGGGAAAAAAATAATGAGGGATGAGGGAGGAGGATTAGGAGGAGGAGGAGGAGACGGCGAGAGAGGGAGAGAATAGATGAGGAGAGGAGGAGGAGGAGGAGGAGGGGCAGGAGCAGAAGGAGTGGGAGGAGCAGGAGGAGGAGGAGGAGGAGGAGGAGGAGGAGGAGGAGGAGGAGGAGGAGGAGGGGGAGGATGAGGAGGATGAGGATGAGGAGGAGGAGGAGGAGGAGGAGGAGGAGGGCGAGGAGGGCGAGGAGGAGGATAATTAAGGAGTCTAGGCGAGGGGGAGGAGGGGTGCGGGCTGGGGCAAGGTCGGGTGGTTGTGCTTTTTCTGCCCACCCGAAGGCGAATTGAGGCTGCCTTAGCAATCGTCGCGAGCTGGCGAGACTCCGCTGCGAGCTCTCCGCGCATTCCAGCCGGGGCTTCAATTGCGAAAAGATTCGCGAGAGCCGCCGACGACACATCTGATCCAGACTTCGCCCACCGTCATCCTCGCTCCTGATCGTGGCCGATTCCAATAACCCCGACCCCCCCACACATGCCCTTCCAGTGTTTGGCTTCCGCTTCCGCTGGCCCACGCCCCTGGAAGCGGGGCCTTCTCTTGAACGCCCCACACTGAGGGAAAGTGGGGGACACTGATTTTGCATCGGCGATTCATCGTCGATAGATCGGCGGGAGGCCCCCGATCGCGAATCCGAGCGCTCGTGGGCGGGGTGGGCTGGCGGGCCTCTGTCGGCGATGAATGGGCGACTGGGGGTCGCTGCCCCCCCATCCGCCCCGAGCCTATCCCTTGGTGGCTTTCGGGTCATTACTCGGGCCTCCAGCGGCCGTTCGGGACGATCCAGATACCCTCGGAACGCTCTCGACGAGGCGCAGCTGCCGGAACGCGTCCCGAGGCTGGAGAGCCGCCGACAACCGACGAAGACGCCCGAAAACCTGGAGCATCGAGCCCATCCCTCGCTAGCGCTGCCCCCGAGCCTGTCCCTCTCCAGCGTTGCCCCTGACCGATCTGCCCGCCTCTGGCACGCGCGACAGTCTCCTGCCTAGAGGACGTGGCCCCTGCCCTCCGACACCGCGCGAGCCCTCAAGCTCGGAGTCGGACGCCCGACATGGGTACAAGCACAAGAGGCGCGATGCCCAACAGCACGTGTGGTCCAAAACGTCGACAGCGACCGTTGTTGGGCAGGCGGCCCTCCTGTCTCAGGTGGACAACGCCCGCGGCGACGCCGACAGCAAATCCGGTCCAAAATGCACAGGTTCGTGTCGTGACGACCCCGGCGTTGAATTCTGACACCGCGTGGATCGTTCAACCTTGAACGATCGGCGGCTCTTCGATCGCCCGATTGTTCCATATAGGCCGATTCTGGGCCACTGGCGGCGTTCAACCTTGAACGCCTGCGGCGGGGTCGCCGCCAGTCAACACGAAACGACCCTACCATACCCACTCTTTCCATGCCCATCTCTACCGCACCGATCGGAGCAGATCCCCGCCCTCGGAGCCCCCCTACTCCACCTCCTCCTCCTCCTCCTCCTCTCCCCTCCTCCTCCTCCTCCTCCTCCTCCTCCCCCCTACCCTCCTCCCCGCCTCCTCCTCCTCCTCCCTCCCCTCCTCCCTCCTCCCTCCTCCTCTCCGTTCTCCTCCTCCCTCCTCCTCCTCCTCCTCCTCCTCCTCCCTCCCTCCTCTTCTTCCTCCTCCTCCTCCCCGCCTCCTCCTCTTCCTTCCTCCTCCTCCTCGTCCTCCTCCGCCTCCTCCTCCGTCCTCCTCCCTCCTCCTCCTCCTCCGCCTCCTCCTCTCCCTCCTCCTCTTCTTCCTCCTCCTCCTCCTCTCCTCTCCTCCTCCCTCCTCCCCTCGCCCTCCTCCCGTTTTTCCTCCTCCTCCTCCTCGTCCCCTCCCCACCTCCTCCTCCTCCTCTCCTCCTCCTCCTCCTTCTCCTCCATCCTCGCCTCCTCCTCTTTTCTCTTCCTCCTCGTCCTCCTCCTTCCTCCTCCCTCCTCCTCCTCCTCCTCCTTCGACCACAATCCCTCCTCCTCCCCTTCCTCCTCCTTCTTCCTCCTCTTCTCCTCCTCCTTCTCCTCCTCCTCTTCCTCCTCCTCCTCCTCTCTCCTCCTCCTCCTCCTCCTCCTCCCCTCCTCCTCCTCCTCCTCCTCCTCTCCTCCTCCTCCGCCCCTCTTCTCCTCTCTCCTCCCCTCCTCCTCCTCCTCCTCCTCCTCCTCCTCCTCCTCCTCCCTCCTCCCCCTCCCCCTCCTCCCTCCTCCTCCTCCTCCTCCTCCTCCTCCTCCTCCTCCTCCTCCTCCTCCTCCTCCTCCTCCTCCTCCTCTCCTCCCCCTCCTCCTCCCCCTCCTCCTCCTCCTCCTCCTCCGCCCTCCTCCTCCTCCTCCTCCACAATTACTCAATATGAATACTACTCTCCCTCTTCCCCTGATGACGGTTTGAAAGTGCTCCACCACCCCCGCGTACTGTTTTTTACACACAGGTTTCCGTGGAGTTGGGTTTTCGCCTGCATTCTTTCCAAACTGCTGATCTCGCTGAGGCGCCGGCCTCATTTTCGGGCCCCGCTCGTTCCGAATCGTGCTCCCGCTGCAGCGCTGGCATCATTTCCGTTCTTCCGCTCGTTCCGAATCGTGCTCCCGCTGCAACGCTCGACTCATTTCCGCGCTTCCGCTCGTTTCGACTCGTGCTCCCGCTGCAGCGCTGGCGTCATTTCCCGTGCCATGCCACGGCATGCAATGCAATGCTAGGTTGATGCTACGCTTCGCGGTGCTCTTCTACGCCATGCCATGCCGTGCTCTACACTGCATCGCGTACCCTTTCGGGATCATTGCCCTGCTCGACATCCGACTGTGCGAGTAGAGAGGGGATCTGCGCCATGGTAAGGGATGGGAGGGAGGGGT